CACTGAACGGCCACCAGAGACCTGACCGGAGGGGCGTCCCTTAAGGTGCGAGCGTCGAGAGAAATGGGTGAGGGAAGAGGCAGGTGCCGCTCCGAGCGGTGCCACGTGCGTGGGCGGGGCCCGGGGCGGGGGAAGGCCCCGCCCAGCGGTGAGCTCGCGATCTCAACAGTCTGGTCTTTCGAAAGAGGCAGGGTTTTTTCCAACTTCAGTGGAGGAAAACTGAGAGGCATGTGGCTGAAATATTTCTGAGGGTCATTGGATGGGCCGAATGGGTGAAATTCCCCCTGAGGTTCAGTTTCCAAAAATCGAGTTGCCACGGGAAACTGTCTCACAAAACAAAGTGTCCTCAAGCCGCCCTCGCGGGGACGAGCCCCGTTGGGCGAAGCTGCCCGCCGCTGGTTGTTACGGCCCCGCTTGGTGAGACAGAGGCTGTGGCTGTCTTTGAAACGACCTTGACAGTGGCCATGGAAACCTCAGAAGAGAGCCAGCCTTTGACGATGGAGAGCGAAGGCTGTCGCCTCCCGAAGCCGAGGCTTGGGCTTTGGGTCGCAGCTTGGACGGAGCATCCCCAAGAGGTGCCAGCCTCTGTTTAGGTACAAGCCACACCCCTTCCCTGACATCGGGGCCCGGCAAAATGGGAGCCACCCCCTGTGGGTCCGGCTGCCATCTGTTCTCGTAAATCGGGTTTCGCTGCTGTGGGTGTCCTGTCCACGCGGGCTGTCCCGCGGCACGGCGGGGCCGAGGGGCTGCAAGGTTAGCTTGCCCGGGACCCATGCAGAGACTGGAGGGACGTCTGTGAGGGCGGCGTGTGGGGGGCCTGAGCGGTCGGACCGCTGACTCCTCCTGATGAAGCACAGGCAGCTGCTCACCGCTGTTCCGTTCTCTTCTCCGCAGCCGACCTCCCGAGACAGGAAGTGGAGCCACGCTTAGGGGCTTCCCATCTCCCAGCCCCGCTCCCTGCCAGCGGGCCCCTCCTTACTGCATGTCTGGGGCCAGGGCCTCGTTCCGCCATCGTGGCTGCGGGGTCTGTGGGCCCCCTTCGAGCCCTTGATTCCTTGTTCACGGGCCCAGCGGCCCCTGGGAACCCTGCCGGGCGTGGGAGCACGCAGCTGCGTGGCAGCGGGGGCGTCCCTGGTCCACAGCGTCTCTTTCTGAGTTTTCTGTGAATGGTCAGTGGCAGTTCAAGAATATTACAGGAAAGTCTCATGAAGCCTCGGGCCGTTCTGCTGTGTCCCGCCTGGCAGTGAATTGTCCCTTTGTCCAGCGGGTCCGCGCTGTAGACACGCCCCACCCGCCCATCACTGAGTAGCTGTCTCAGTGACCAGATCGACTCTCAGTTTCAGTTAATAGGGGCCCCAAAGCCATTCACATAACTTTAATTACCGTATATCGTTATCGTTGCTCTATTTTATTATCAGTTGTTGTTATTAACGTCTTGCGGTACCTACCTTGTAAATCAACTTTTCCATGTTGAGAGGAAAAAACAGTGCAGAGAGGCCCCGGAGCTCTCCGCAGCCTCGGGCGTGGCGGGCGGTGCTGGCACACGCCCCGCGGGTGGGGAGGGACGGCTGCGACAGCTGTAGGGAGTGGAAGCCGTTTGCCCCGGACTTATTCTATTACCAGAATGCGGCGACGTGCGTGTTGGGTTTGGGGTTGGACGCTGGATTTTCACTGGGCCCCGGAACGGAGACGTTCCTTCCGTCCCGGCTCCGTCGGTGGGCCGCGGAAGGGCTGCCCTGCGGCCGGGCAGGGCGCGAGAGTGCGGGGCGGGCGATGGGTCACGCGGATCATCACGTGCGTGAAGGTGGGTGGAGAGACATCTTTCCAGAAAGCACAGCCATTCCATTCTTGTGGTGTTTCCACCCAGACAATCTTCTCTGGTTAATGAGCCACGTGCCGCTTGCTCTGAACTGCAGTTTGGCGCGCCCTTGGGAAGTTTCACGCTGGAGGCCGAAGGACCTCCCTACCTCTCGGGAACGGAGTCAATACTGATTCAGTAACTCAGGGACATCGCAGGCAGTGCGGGGGAGGGGGAGTGTAGAGATGATGACAATTTGGTCCTTTTCCTAAGGGGCTCGGAGGCTCATGAGGACTCGGGCAAAGGGACGGGCTGTTGTTAGAATCATGCGTTGGGAGGGTCTCTTGAGCCAACAGTTTCCCTCTGGACCTCAGTCTCTTCCATCCACCGGAAGAGCAGAATGAATGGCTTCCCGTCCTCGCCCACGGGAGACAGGCGGGGATGTCACCACTGAGCTCCAGCTGCTGTCGGAGCCCTTCCCTCCAAGGACTTTGGCGTTCCAGACCCTCCACCCAGCGTAAGCCTCTCCTCGGTAACCAGGCGAGGGGTCAAGACCCGGCGGTGGCCTGGGCCTCCTCTGGCCCTGCTCCCGTTAGGGACCCTCAGTGCCTGCAGCCGGCTGGCCGTGCCCTGAACTGTCCCCACGGCCCCTGCCAGCTCACTCCCATTCCGTGTGTCACTGCCTCCGTGGGAGACCTGTTCCGCTGACCTGAAAGAGGGCGGGTTTAGCCCAAGAAACGAAGACTCAGTTCCTGCCTCGGGGACTGGGGTGTGACCTGCCGAGAAGGAGAGCGGGCTGAAGGGCTTTGGCCTGAGGGCTCTGTCGGCGGAGGAGGCGGTGAGGTCTAGAAGCCTGTGCCCCCGGGACGGTAGGGGCGCTGGGTCCTCCCGCCAGCGCGTCAGGCCGCCGGGCCAGAGCCCGCGCCGAGACTGGCAGCCGGAGCTCAGAATCCCGGGAGGGTCCTCCGGGTGGACCCTGGAGCCGGCGGACGCGGTGCGACCCAGGGCATTTGCGCGCACTTGCCCGTTTAGTCTCCATTCCTTTTGTGATGGCAGCCTCTGCCTTTGAGAGTCGCTGCCAAGGCTGAGGGGGATACCGCGCGCCCGCTGATGGCTGCCGCCGGCTGAGCATGTCTGTGGTCCTCGTCACCGCCTCCAAGTGATCACCGTTGTCATCGTCGGCAGCCCCGCCACCGTCGCCTTCATCGTCATCACCATCGTCATCACCACCGTCGCCGGCATCAGCATCGCCGGCAGCCGCGGCACCGGCAGCCGCGGCGGCGGCAGCAGCAGCATCAGGCCCAGCTCACTTCCCATCACAGGAAGCACAGACACCGCACGAGCTCGTCGTTTTCAGGCAGCGCGGGGGGTCTCCTGACTCGGCCGGAGGGTGTGGGGGTGGAAGGCGGGGAGACCGAGCGGCCCTTCTCCCTGGGTGTCCCTTGGTTGGGGCACCGTGCAGCGGTGTCTCAGCTGGGCCTCAAGGAAGCCGGTGCACGGGCTGGCCCTGCTGAGGCCAGCGGGCACTCGTGGCTGCTGAGGCGGAGGGCGGGCCCTGCGGCCCGAAGCTCCGCCCGACAGGCGAGCAGGGTGGGCGGGGCGGGAGGAGAAGCCACTCTCTCAGAGGCAGGTGCCGCGGATGGGCCCCAGGGTTCTGGAAGCCGTTGGCCGGAACTGGCTGTGACGCTGCCCCTCTAACTACAGGGCTGTTCTGAGGGCGGTCCCACCTGGCACTGCCTCGAACACAGAAGGTGCTCAACACCTGGTTCTCACGTTCACGGATAAAAGAATGAGGGAGGCCCAGGACATCCCCATCTTTTCCCCGGTTTTCCCAGGGGTGCTGTGCCGCGTGCACAGGACGGGAATCCCTCCTGACAAACACAGAGGAGCGGACAGGAAGAGAGGGCTTGTTCTCTGGCCCTGCCAGCTTTCAATCATTCATTAGCAACTCCCCGCCCCGCCCCCCCGCCCCCCTGGATCATATTCCGTAGAGAGTTAACAGCTGTTTGGAGACGGCATCTGAGAAATCCTACATTCTGAAACCCACCACGCCCGAGTCTGTGCATGTCATTCTCGCCGCAGAACCCGCTGGGGCCTCGGGTGCGGTGGGTGGCCGGCGCTAACGGATGTCAGCAGGGGGCGCCAGGAGTGGGGAGCGACAGGTGCTCACGCGGCCCAGGTGGAAGCGCGGGGTGTCAGCCGTGGCGCGGGGAAGCGTGCGCGCCTGCAGGGGGCTCTGCGGGCCGTTGCGGCCTTTATGACCTGACCCCCCACTTAAGGTTCCTGCTCACAGCAGAGTCTGCGGCCAGAGCCCGGGACCTTCCAGGTGGCCCTCACTGACCAGGGCCACTCCAGGGGTGGCCAGGAGGGATGTTCCAGGTGTGTCCGAAGGAGGAGTGAAGCCAGGCGGGGAGCTGAGGGGACCGGCGTAGAAGCTGGAGATGGGGCGGGGCAGAGGGAGCGCCGGGAGAGGGCGCTCACCCTCTGCACGTGATCACATGGCTCTTGGCAGGGCTCTGGCTGCCCTGCTTCTGGAGTGGCCAGTCCCTCCTGTCCCTGCCCTGCTGGCCCCCCGCCGCCGTGTGCACTCACGCAGAGCAGGGCCAGGCCACAGAGCCTGCGCTGGGCCTGGATCTTCCGGGGACCTCAACAGGCAGCGACCTTGTTGGGAGCCCTGGAAGGCAGAAGACGTTTCCCAAGGACCCGAGGGCCCCCGAGCCTGCAGCGCTGTCTCCCATGCTCCTGACAAGCCCTGGGCTGCCCCGGCCCCTCCAGGGCCAGGCCAGGTCCCGCTGCCCCAGGCAGGCCCGGTGGCCGGGTGCTCAGAACCCGGGGGCAGACTGTACCCAGGGTGGCAGGAGGGAGAGCGGCCAGGGCTTACCTGCCCCAGGTGAGGGGCTCTGCAGGTGCAAGCAATGACCCAGCGGCCCGTAGGCCACGTCACGGCTCGGGGAGTGCAAAAGCTCTGGAAAGGAGAGAGGCCGGGGCTCGGTGTCCCTCCCTGAGCACCTGCCAGCACCTTGTGTGGCCGGGGCGGGGCCGTGGGGCCCGGGCTGGTCCCGCGCAGCCATCCCCGGTGGCCGCAGCCGGGGCGTGTGCAGGCTGCTCGCGGACAGGACCGGGCGTTTGCAGCCGGCCCACAGGACGTGTTAATGTGCCCCCTTCGCGGCCCCTTCATCTCAGGCCCCCTCTCTGTCCGCAGGTCTGGCTGTCCATCAGATCGTCACCATCACCGTGTCCCTCATCATGGTCATCGCTGCTCTGATTACAACTCTTGTCTTAAAAAACTGGTAAGGACCCTCGGCCCTCCGGGTCTGGCCATGGGGCGCAGTGGGGGCCCCCGGGGAGGGGCACGCAGAAGCTTCCGGCTTCTCCAGCCTGGCCCTGGGTCACAGCCCAGGGCAGAGTCCCTCTGCCCTCCGGCCCTGGGCACCCCGAGGCACGGCTGCTCGCGGGGCGCTCTCCGCAGGCCCGCGAGGCCGGCATCGCGACCTAGGCGGCAGGTGCATCCTTTTTCTCGGATCCAAGTGTCTTTGGACGTCATCCACCCAGGGCCCAACCCCGCGACCCCTTTTCTTCATTTCCTGGCAGCAGCCTGGGCAGGGGTCGCGCCTGCCTCCGGCTGCCCTGGCCGTCCCGGCCGCCCGGTGCTGGCCCAGCCCCTCTCGCCCTGCCTTCCTCGATGAGCTGCCCCGTGTCTGCTGAATTAGGTTACAGCTTTGCTCCAGGCGGCCTGTCTTTGCCTATTTCCTCCTGGAAATTGGCCTATTTTGAGGTTGGCCTTGCTGGGTACACACACCTGCTACACCCCTGGGAAACGCAGCGAGCTGCTGGGTGACCGCGCCTGCCCGCAGCCCCTCCTCCCGCCAGCGTGGCTCCTTTCGGCATCAAAGCCTAAACGCCCTGGCAGAGGGCTTTGCCCAACAGGGAGGCCCCGCTGCCTGCAGACACGGGGGGAGTCGCCGGGCGGTGGCGGGAGCTGCCCGAGCACCTGCTGGCGGAACGCGGTGGACCGCTGGGGATCAGCCAAGGCGGGCAGGGAGGTACGGTGCCGAGCAGACCGCACACAGACCAGCGAGGCCCGCGGCTGCCCTGGCGGCCAGCAAGCCCGGGGCCCAGGGCATTTTCTAGGCAGATGACCAGGGCGGCCTCAGCCTGCAGCAGGCTTCCTGGGCGGGGCCAGGCCCGGTGGATGCGTGGCCCTCACATCCGCTCAGCATCCTGTGGAAGGAAAACCCCTTGTCCCGAGGAGACCGCGGACTTGTGACCCGCTCCGTGGCAGACAGGCCGGCTGGCCAGCTTCCTCTCGTTTCCCCACATGTTCGGGTTGCAGCAGACACTTCAGGGAGCAGGGGTTCCGTGACAGGGGGCAGGGGCTGGGGGCGGGGGGCTCTGGGCCAGCAGCGGGGGGTCCTCTCTTTGGGAGAGAGGGCAAAGCAGGGGCGTGGCACCGCTACAGGGAGGCGGGCTCACAGAGACCCCCTCGCAGGCCCCTCACTTGTTGTCAGCTCTGAGCATAGAGGGCAGAGTGGAGCTGGTCCCCTGAAGTGGGGGCTCCCCAGATTTCCTTGCAGCCACCCTTCTCCTTGGGGTGGGGACTTCCCCCCCCACTGCCACTTGGGAGCTTGCCAGAGCGTCCTCCAGGACGGAAGGGCTCTCTGATGGTCACTTGGCCAGAGCCCCCAGCCCACAGGGTTAGAGTCCCATGTCCGTCTTAGGGGCCCCTGGAAGGTCCGGTGGCCCGGGGGACAGGGAAACGAGGCGCACGCAGCACTGGTCTCTCCACAGACCCAGCCGGGGTGAAGGGAAGGCCGGGGAGGGGTCCCCCGTTAGGGTGGGCCCCAAAGGCGATTATGTAGTCCCTTCCGAAATGGATGATCGGGCCGCCCCAGACTTCACAAAGGTCCCCCCTGGAGGACCCATCCGTTTCCATCCCGCCGTGGCGTTCCTGGGGAAACCGAGTCAGCCCTGAGGTCCTGCTGACGGACGTTCTTTAGCCGAACGAGGCCTCAGCTCTGGGTCGCGAGAGCTCAGCCACACCCCTGCGACCCTCCCAGCCGCAAAGGGCACAGTTAAAGTTCAAATGTTATTTTAAAAAAGGTGCCGACACCTAGATTGTGGCCCATCTCTCTGAAGAGGCCGGGCGGCACCGTGTAGCGACCCTGGGTGCGTCAGGAAAGCCTGGCGAGGCAGGCAGGCCGCACGCGTCGGTGCTGCAGCTGTGCCTGTGGTTCCAGCCCCGGGCCTGTCCCCCCCCCCCCCCCATTCCGAGCCTTCTCTCTTCCAGCTGTGCCCAAAGTGGGAACCCCCGAAGGAACAGCCACCAGCGGAAGATCAACCAGCAGGAAGAGAGCTGCCAGAACCTGACAGACTTCACGCCCGCCCGGGTGCCCAGCAGCCTGGACATATTCACGGCCTACAACGAGACTCTGCAGTGCTCGCACGAGTGCGTGCGGGCGTCCGTGCCCACGTTCACCGACGAGACGCTGCACTCGATGGGGGAGTACAAATCCACGTTCAACGGGAACCGGTGAGTGCGGGCGGCGCGCGGGCTGGACCCGGCGGCAGGCGCCTGGCGGTAGCACAGCACGGGGGCGGGGGCGGGGGCGGGGGAGGCGCCCTTCACGTGCCTCTGAGCGTCCAGCAGATGCAAGGGCAGACAGGCGCTCCACTGCCCAGACGGAGGACACAGCCGCAGCCAGGAGCCCCATCCGGAGCTGCACTTCCCGCCTGGATCCGCCCTGTGGCGGGCGTCCTGGTCCTGAGCTCAAAGCCAGCTCTGGGGCCCGTCCTCCTACATGCCGGGGGCCCTGATTGGCCGTCCCCGGTCAGCGTCTCTGAACCCCATCGACAAAATGTCCGCAACGAATCGAGCAAAACTATCAAATACCAGCCAGACTCCTGGTTATTAAATGCCTTTTCTTTTTCCTTTTTATTAATCACGTGTAATCCTTTAAAGACGACATGGCCCCGAAGCCGTGCCTGGGAATACTCCGGAAACCCTGAGTCAGCTTCTGGAGGTTTATCCGGAATTAGATTAAAACATCAATAAGCTATTTTTTTTTAAAATGGGCATACACTCATGCCTCATTTTATAAATTAAAAAAAGCCCTGCTACGACCTCATCCTCGGAGGGAATGGGCGGGACACCAGGCTGGTTCGCAGACCCGCTGTTGGAGCGAAGGGGCAGCCAGGGGCGCTGGCTGGGGCGCTGCAGCCGGGGCGCTGTGGCCGGGCTCCTCCCAGAACTGCCGGGGGACCCGGGGCGACTTTGGGCGGCAGCGCCCGCAGTTAGCGCGGCCTCGTCCGGCCCGTGAGCACAGGGCCGCCCTGGAAGCACCTCTTCCTTCCCCCGCCGGGACTACTGTCCCTGTTGTGTGCGAGGCACCCCTTTCCTGGGGGAGGAGGGTGGAGAGGGGAACGCTCAGGGCCATCCCCTCCAATGCGACTTTGCCTTCCCTCGAGGCCACCGGGGTGAGGGGGGAGCTCGCTGAAGGCTGCATCATCCCAGGCTCCGGAAGGATCGGCAGGAGGCTTTTCCCTCCCCGCCACTGAGTGTGCGTGAGGGCTGGATGCGAATCCTGGCCAAGCCGCGCATCGGCCTCTGGGGGAAGAGGGTTGGTCACTGCGTCCCTTTGCCCCATGCCCTGCCGCCGCGTCCTGCGCCAGCCTGGGCACGGGGCGGGGAGCACAGCTGGCGCTCTCACGCCCCAGCGAGGAAGCAGGCGGCGGAAAGGCTCTCGCTGTTGCCCTACGGTAGCACTCTGCCGGCCCTCACTGGCCTCGGGGACGCGTAGCTCAGTCTCAAAGGTGACAAAACATGGGGATGCCATGTCGGGAGTCAGGCCCTGCCCTCTTATAATGCGTGGCAATGCGGGCTGAGCCCCTGTCCTCTCAGGCAGAGACTCTGAGCTTTGTGTTGTCTTGTGATTGAAATACTACATCCTGGAGGTGGCCCAGCACGCCGCTGGCTTCCCGGCCTCCCGGCCTCCACTCCGGAGTACTCCTGTGACGGGTCCCTCAGGCTGTGTCCTCCAAGGCCACCCGGCTTGGACAGGGGCGCTAGTCAGCCACAGGATGGGACGGGTTGCCTCTGAGCACCCCCTCCCTGGGTGGGGGGAGGCTTCCTTGTGACTGGACAGGCTGGGTCTCGGCCGCGGGCCTGTGCCGCCTGCGGCTGGCTCCTGAGCAGCCGTGCCAACCCGCCCTTCTGCCCGCTGCAGGCCCTCCTCTTCCGATCGGCACCTCATTCCCGTGGCCTTCGTGTCTGAGAAATGGTTTGAGATCTCCTGCTGACTGGCCGAAGTCTTTTTTACCTCCTGGGGGCAGGCCAGATGCCACGTGTCTGTTTCATGGTACGTACCTCTCGTTCGGAGCTCGACTCCCTTCTCCCGTTCTCGCCCCCCTCCAGCCTCCCTCTGGGAGAACTGGGGGCCCCTCCCGCAGGGTAACACTGTGGGCGGGATTCCGGCACCATCATGGTTCTCAGCAAACCAGGGGGGCTGGGCATGTGCGCTATCCCCACACCTGTGAGAAACGCCCCCAGGCCCCAGTGCTGGGAGCACCGACACTGGAGCACTATGACTCAGCACGGGGGCTGTGTCTGCCGCTGTCTGCCTGTCCCCAGGGAAGGCCACCGCAAGCCGGCCTGGGGGGCGGCGACACCCAGGGAAGAGCGAGCTCCGGGCGCGGCTCTCACGCCCTGGACAGGCAGCAGCCCAGGCGGCGACGCGGGCAGCCGTCCCCCCACCACATGGCCTTACGTGGGGGCGGGGGCGCCGGGCGGCATCACAATGCTAATTTGAAATATAAAAATAGGAGATGAGGAGGAAAATGACAAAGGGAGAAGACATCCACTAATTTGAAGCGAAGCTGGTACCAGGGAGGATGAGTTTTCCACGCTCTGCTGGTCAGGAACATTTGCTTTCCTTGCAGGGATATTAACTTGAATGCCAACGTCAGTTGCTTCCTTCTGTGCCAAGTGTCCCGACCCGTGGCTGCCGGGGGCCTGCGCCTCGGCCCCCTGGCTGCGCGTGCCGGCAGCGCAGCCGGTGGAGCCGGCCCGAGACCCGGGGGCTTTTAAATTTGTTTTTCTTTTGGATGCTGGTTTTCTAAGGATCCCCGCTTTGCTCATTCAGAGAAAGCATCTTCCCCCCAAGATGTTCCTTCTGAATGGGACGTCAGATCCCTTCCTAGAGTGGGGAACCCGATTTCTAGGATGGTTATCGGTACGTGAGAGTGCTTTTCTCTGCCCACCTTCTGCCATGGGGACCGAATGGACACAGCCGTTGTCAGAGTCGGGGGAGGGCCCGCGGTGGGGAGGGGTCTTCTCGGGCCCTCCAAGGACCCCGAGGGCTCAGCTCGCAGCACTACCTGGGGCCGGAGCGGCCCGCTGCTTTTAGAAGTAGGAATGGGTCGGTCAGTTCCTGGTGCAGGTCCTAATGAATAGCGTGTTTGCTCCAAATTAAATCTCCAGCCCTCCCTTCCTGTCCTGAAGCCAAAATGACCTGCTTAGCGCTCTGTTCAGCCAACGGGCAAAGAAATGTAATTAGGTTAGAATGGAAATTGAGCCTCCCCCTTGAACGCCTTGGCAGAGGCTGCGCGGGAAGCAGGTAGGATGCGTCCTGTCCCCGCGTTCAAGGGCCAGATGTGCCAGGCATGACCCAGACGTCAGAAGCCTGTGCCTTTGTCCACCTCGAGGGGGCACCTCATTAAGGCCGCAGGGAGCTCCCTTTGCTGCAGCCAGACTGGCAAAGGGGACCTTACTCATGAGCGGAGGAGGTCACGCCTGTCCCTGTGTGAAGCCTCCGCGGGCCAGCCCCACGATGGCCGGCCTCTCCGGTAGGATTTCTAATGGGTGACGAGAACATCAGACCTGGGGAACGCTGGCCTGGGCGCCCAAGACCGCTGCTCCCTTCCGCCTCCCAGACCTGCGGGCCACAGGCCTGGAGGCCGACACAGCTTTGGCTTCCAGTAGCCCCCGCCACGGGGACGCTTCCCCAGCGTAGACATGTTCGAGTGGCATCACGTCGGAGCACACTTGTCGCCTGGGACTCCTTTCAAGCTCAGTCCTCCCGGCAGCCCCACTTGCAGACAGGGAGGCAGGCATGGGAGGTCAGGCTGTAAGAGGTGCAGCCAACCAGCCCCAGGCCACCTGGCCCCAGGCGGCAAGGGGTCTGGACCCCAGCCGCCAGCTGTGCCCGAGGAGCTCTCTCGGGACCATGCTTACAGGAGGGAGGCGATGCCTCCGTGTCCGATGACCGCGGCTCGCTCGCTGCAGGTCGCAGGCAGATGGTTGGGCAGGTGAGAAGAGCCCATGGCCTTGCTGGGCACCCGGCCACGCCCAGCCACCACGCCTGCGGACACAGAGGACGAGGACCAGGAGGGCTCCGCGCACCCTTGTTAGCCCGCAGCAGATGCTGAAAGATTCCGAGCTCGTGTTTTCAGGCACGGCATTTATCACTGGCTGGGAGGAAAGCGTTCGGAGGCTCCGTGTCCCCGAGTCTCATAATTAATGCCTGGACATGAGCATCGAGCGGAGGGTAACCAGGAAGAGCTCTCCCATTCGCTAGGGCCCTTATTACCTCTTAAATAAATAGCAATTAATACTAAAACATTTAATTGAGGTCTAAGAGCCAGCGGTGACATTTATCTCTGGCGTAGCTGCTAAGCCTCTCCAAACACATTTTTAATGACGACGTAGCCATTTGTTACCACGCCGTCTGGTCTGCTCACGCTAACCCACGTGCGCGTTGGGGACCCCGACGTGGCCAAGTTCTCATCCCCGGCAGGCGGTATTCGCTGGGCCCCTCGATTCAGCCTCGGAGGTGGATTCCAGCAAAGCCAGGCCGCAGGCCGCCTCCATGGTGCCACCCAAATGCCTTGGACAGGACACAATGCAGCCAGTGGCCTTTCCTGCTGCAAGCAAAGTGACCTCGGACACCCCTGCCGTCAGCTGGGGGCTAATTGCCTGTCATTTTTTTGTACCAGTAAACTTCAGAGAAGCTCACCGGAGCTCAGATCTTTCCCCGGCCCAGGCCACTTCCTCCCCAGTGGAGCCGGGGGCGTAATGAAGGCATCCATCATACGGAATTACTGTTTTCAGCAACACGCTGCGACGTAATCATAAGGAAACAGGAAGCGCACCTGAGCCTCACAGGTTCTACACACACGACAAAGACACACACTAATGGAACCGCCAGCTTCTGTCATTTGGAGGAACACTTTTTCCGAAGCAACGTGCAGACCCTTCTGGAAGCCATCTGTCTGAGCGGAGCACCAAGGCAGGCCACCCAGAACAAGGGGAGCCCGCGGGAGAGCCGCCCGCTGCGGATGGGGAGAAGCCAACCGGCGGCCACGTGCTCCAGGGCGACCCTGGTGTCTCGGTTCTGCAGAAGCAGGCGCTGGTCAGTAAGCTCGTGACCCCCACCGTGTGGCCTGTAGCCAGCGGGGCCGGGCGAGCCGAGACCCTGCTCCCAGACAACCAGGGACACTAGTTTCCCCAAAGTCAGAACTGGCCCCGGATGCCCATCTGGGACCTCTGGGCAGCATGCAGCCTCCTCTCCTGACCAGGAGCCTGTGTGGACGCCCTCCGGGTGCCCTCTGCAGCCGGGCCATCCCGGGCTCACCGCTCCCGCCCTCCGCACGGTCTCGGCTGCGTGACCCTCTCCAGCCCCTCTGGGGTTCGCGCCCGGTGGAGAGCCCTCGGAGCAGAAAGACCGGAGGCCTGCCCACGTGCTAAGTGCAGGCGGCGGGGTCTGGGCACGCACGGAGGGCAGCCCTGGGTGGGGGCGGCCTCAGCACCCCCCACCTGGCCTGTCGGGGCGACTCAGGGAACGCATCCACCTCTGTAGCACGCCAGCCCTGCTCTCCTTTTTTAAAAAAAATGTATTTTATTGATTTTGCTATTACAGTTGTCCCAGTTTTCCCCCTTCGGCCCCCTCCACCTGGTACCCCCATTCCTTCCAGCAGTTCCTCCCCGTAGTTCATGTCCATGGATGGGTCGCGCATGTAAGTTCTTCAGTTTCTCCCTTTCCTATACTATTCTAAATCTCCCCCTGTCTATTTTGTACTGTGCAATTTATGCTTCTTCGTCCCTGCACCTTTTCCCCCGTTCTCCCCCCTCCCCCTCCCTGTGGCTAACCCTCCGTGTGGTCTCCATTTCTGTGATTCTCTTCCTGTTCTGCTCGTTTGCTTAGTTTGTTTTTCAGATGCAGTTGTTGATGGTTGTGCATTTGTTGCCACGTTAACGTTCATAGTTTTGATCTTCCTCTTTTTCTTAGATAAGTCCCTTTAACATTTCACGTAAGAAGGGCTTGGTGATGATGAACTCCTTCAGCTTTACCTTGTCTGGGAAGCACTTCATCTGTCCTTTGATTCTAAATGATAGCTTTGCTGGATGGAGCAATCTAGGCTGTAGGTCCCGGCTTTTCATCATTTCGAACATTTCTTGCCAGTCCCTTCTTCCCTGCAAAGTATCTTTTGAGAAATCAACTGACAGTCTTATGGGAACTCATTTGTAGGTAACTCTGCTTTTCTCTTGCTGCTTTTGAGATTCTCTCTTTATCTTTAACCTTTGGCATTTTAACTGTGATGTGTCTTGGAGGGGGCCTCTTTGGGTCCAACTTCTTTGGGGCTCTCTGTGCTTCCTGGACTTGCACGTCTATTTCCTTTGCCAAATTAGGGGAGTTTTTCTTTCATTATTTTTTCAAATAAGTTTGCAATGTCTTGCTCTTCCTCTTCTCATTCTGACCCCTCTGTGGTTCCGATGTTGGTGTGTTTGGAAATGTCCCTGAGGCTCCTTATTCTAGTCTCACTTTTATTAATCCTTTTTTCTTCTTGCTGTTCTGATTGAATGCTCTTTTCTTCCTTATGTGCCAAATTGTTGAGTTGAATCTCGGCTTCATCCCCTCCACTGTTGGTTCCCTGCAGATTTGTCTTTATTTCACTTAATGTAACCTTCATTTTTGCCTGAGACTTCTCAAGTTGTGGAAGTACCCAATGATTTCTTTAAGCATCCTGATCTGCCTCTGATAGATGGCTTATCTCCACTTCATTTAGTTCTTTTTCTGGGGTTTTGTTCTGTTCTGTCATTTGGGCCGCGTTTCTTTGTCTCCTCATTTGGCAGGCTCCCTGTGTTTGTTTCTGTGTATTAGATAGAGCTGCTTTGACTCCCTGTCTCAGCAGCGTGGCCTGTTGTAGACAGGGCACCCGTCTGGATGAGTATGGCTTCTTTAAACCCCTGGTTGTGGGACTTCCTCGATTCTCTGATGAACCTGGGCGATGTTTGTTTTGTAGTTTGGTTGTAATTTTTGCTGTAGTTGTGCATGGAGGTGAAGCGTGTTTAGCTACGCCTCCATCTTGGCCGGAAGTCTCTTCATCTGGCATCAGTGGATTCAAGGAGACACAGATGGCTGTCCCAAAAAGGGGGAAGAGCACAGTAATGGACAATCCAAGCAGATGTTTCTAGAAACCCAAGGCAGCCTCCAGAAAGCCTGGAGAGAGCCTAAGCAAGGTGTTCTTTCCCTGAGGTCTGTGGGCTCTCAAGCTATCTGCTACCTGAAGATTTTCACTAATTTCTAACAAAATCGAGTGTTTTCCTGGGTTGCGGGTTTGGTCCCCAGTCAGGGTGCATGCAGAAGGCGGCCGACCTCTGTTTCTCTCTCTCTCCCTCCCTCCCCCCCGCCCGCAGCCAGCCGGGTGGGCCGGGTGGCAGCCCTCACATGCACCGCGCCACAACACAGCTTCCCTGCACTGCTCTTAAAATGGCAAGCCGAGGCTCAGGGTTGGAGCTCTGTCTCTCTCTTTATCTCTGAGATGCTGGGTAGAGACAGACGCCTGTGGGTTAGTTAGAGGTGCTCGTCCCCCGGTGGCCACCTGTCAGTCCTCCGAGAGGCCCTCCATCTGCTGATCCTTGATATCTGCCACCCCCGGCCTCTACCTGCCGGCAGAGGCCGAGGACGAGGCTACTCTCCTCCAGCACGGACCTCCCTCTCTGGGCCAGGCACAGAGCTGGAGCTGGGCGAACTGAAGGTGGGCCCGGCAGGCACCCCGTGACCCCCGGCGTGACGCACACCCAGATAAAAGCCACTGCCGCCCGTGCCGCAGCCGAGAAGTCATAGAGCTGGACTCACTAATAGACTGAAATGAAATGGAGCCTATGTTTCGGGAAGAGGAGGTGTCCGTGGAGGACCATCCACAGACACGTGCGTGAGGTCTGAGGTCAGGGGGCCGTCTGCAATGTGGGGGGGAGGCAGAAGAGGGAGGGATAAGGGAAGGGAGCGGACCAATCATGTCTGGAAGGACCCAGGAGCCGGCATCTGAAGCCTTGAAGATTTTTAAGCAGGAAAGCACACGGTGGCGTTTGTGTAGAAGCCCCCTGAGGGACAGCTGGCCGCAGGGAGGCGCAGGAGCAGCCCGTCAGCTGGTTAACGTTGCGAACCAGCCTGGGCAGTGAGGAGCGGCTGCCACTGGTCATCACGCTGGGACCACGGACGGCACCTTATACTGGAGGCGGCCCTGGTCACCGGAACCAGCTGGATGGTCCTCAGGCCCAGCTTTTAATTTTTTTAATGTTTTAAAAATTGTGGTAAAATACGTGGAACATCAAACTGACCACCTTGGCCATTCCCAAGGGCCCAGCTCAGCGGCATTAGCACATTCACACTGTTCTGTGGCCGCCACCACCGTCCGCTCCAGAACTTTCCATTTCCGCGAACTGGAACTCTGCCCCGTCGAACACTAATCTCCCGTCCCCTCGCGCGGCCCCCAGCTCCCCCGTGAGCCTTCTGTCTCCGTGGGACTGACTCCCGCGGGGACCACATACTTTAACATCAGAAAATCAGAGTGAAGGTAGACATGCAGAACAGACATTTCTCTCTATTTTAATGACTTCACTTTTTTAGCCACGCCTGCCCCCACATCCTAGAATCTGGAGGAGGGGGGTGGGGCACAGTTAGAGCAAAGCTGCTGGGGTGGTCCAGCACCCCTCTGACAGGGTGTCCCCTTTCTTTACACCCAGCGACACCCCTGCTGGGACGCAAGCCTGCTCCCAGCCGAGAGGGTGATCCCGCAGGGTCACCGCACAGGGGACGTTTGAGGGAGAAGGCAAGGTGAGGTGATGAGGGGGGCACCGCCTCCGTCACCCAGACCCCAGACCAGCCGGGGGCCCCTGTGGGCGCGGCGACCCCTCTCAGGAAGCCCAGACCCGCTCCTGCCCCAGGAGGTGGCTTCTCCACCAATGCCCATGGTGGACACGGGGTCCCGGGCCCGCTGCCCGCCCTGGGCCCCTCAGGGGGAGTGTCCGGGCGCCGCGGGACACGCCTCCCGGTCTGAGCACACGCTGGCGTCCGTCGGCAGGGAGCCCAGGGCCGGGCTCAGGTTGCCGAGGCCCAGAGCGGCTGCACAGGCCCGGCCCGCCCTCGGCCCGCCGCCCTGTAACCTCTTCTTGTTTTCTCTCCACACAGGATTCCGTTGGTGAACCTGTACAAAATTAAATTAAATTATAAAAACCTAAAACTAAACTCTCTAAGGGGGAGGGTCCCCGCACCTACCACGTCTGTTTGCCGGCGGGGAACTCGGAGCAGGACGCTATAGGCCAAATATATTTTTATAAAGATGCTCGCGCCTATGGGGCCTGCCTCCCCCGTGCGCTCGGGAGGACGGCGACGAGGGACGCAAGCCAGGACCTGGAGACAGCGAGGGACGCGGACGCCGCGGCAGGGACAGCAAGCGCCCGAGGGAAGCCTGGGATTTGTACCACGATTCTGAACCTGTGCCAATAATACCACATGTGCCATGTACGGACCCGGAAGATTTGGTGACATGCCAAAGCCGAGAGAGCCACACGTAGACGTCTCCCAGAAAACAGGGGTGGGAGTCTCTTCCGGTAGAGTTGCTATTTCTGGTTAATCTCTATGTATATAAATATATAAAGACACCCAGACACACAGACACACACACTTTTTTGTACTGTAGCAATTTTTGAATATCTTCAATGTTCCTTTTTAAAAAAAAATGTGTTCTCGGTGACAAACCTGATTTATTTAACATGCTTAGTACGAACGGAATCAACTGGTGTTTTCTACTTTGCAGACTCCACGCACGCACCACACACAGGCTCACACACGCGCACACACTCACACACACAGACGTATACGCGCATATATATATGCATATACTGGAAATGCCGTCCCGCGAGTTGAGCATATTCCTTCTGGTGACCTGGTATCTCATCACCGTCCATCCTGGGGGACAGCCCACCCACACAGACCCGCAAGCGATGCGTCCCGTGTCTGCTAGACACTTGGTGGTGGCCCCAGATGCGCGATTTATTACCTTGGGCCGTAACGAAGAATGCCATGGTTTTATATACATACATACATACATACATATATATATATATATATACACACACACACACATATATATATACACACACACACATAAATACTATCTTTTTCTGGATCGGTTGTTTGAAGATGCTACCTAAGAGCCACGTGCGCATTCATGTAGCCGGCTGCTCACACACGGGCCTGAGCGTCAGAGCGGGTGGGTGGTGGATTCTTGGCCATCTTTGTGTTATATAAGCGTAGATTGAATTAAAGACATTTTCCAGTTCCAAAAATTAAAGCAATGTATCCTTACCCTGTGTGTGCGTCTGTGAGAGCCGAGCTCGGAAACCGACGAGGGCCCTGGTCTGCCCGAAGGCGAGGACAACGTCCCTGCGCGCGGGGCCCCGGCTGCTCCCACGGGAGCCCGGCCCTGGCGTGTCCTGCGTTCCTGCCCCACCCGTTCTTGGGCAGAGGTTGCCTGCTTGTTCTGGAGCCCACAGGTGCCTGCGAATCTCGGGGAGCCAGAAGCAAGCACACTGTCTCTTGTGGGTCCCCGCCGGCCGACATTGGGGTGTCGCCATCCACAATTCCCCTGGGGAGCTTCCCCGTGGAAACAGCACTGTGCGCTGGGGCCTCCTTCCCAAAAATCCCAACCACACACGGTCCCTTTGAAACATGGCCCTGTCCCGGGGGGTGACGTGCCCGCGAGCCCCACCTCATGAAGGCACCTGGCCCACCCTGCTGCCGGGGTGGGGGGCGCTGTGTGAGAGGGGAGCCCCCGGCGGGCCTCACGCCTTAGAGGACATGCCTGCCTCACAGGCCCCAGAGCCCCCGTGGCGGCTGGTCCCCTGTAGACGGCCCTCCTGCCGCTTAGAGCTCACCAGTAGGGCCCTCGCAGCAAGCCTGTTCAAAGGTTAAAGGTCAAGCAGACAGCTAACCCCACACCCACTTCTCGGCTGGGCTGGCCACGTCCTGCTCTTCCCACCGGTTCAGTCGGCTCAGTCTCTCTCTGAAACAGCCCGGAATGTGCTAGAAAAGTTTGCATTCGCACCTCTTGAAATAAGGGAGGGTAGGCGGTGCCAGCGGCAGGAGCAAACCAGCTTGTGCGGCGCCGCAGTGTCGCGCTCGGTCCCGGTGGCATCGCTCGTGAAGCTGGGCCGTCGGGGGTGTTTTGTTTGTTTTGTTTTGTTGTTTTGCTTTTGTTTTGCCGTTATCCCCAAAGCTTTAGCACAAGTGGAGACAACACAAGCATCCACGGCTGACTGATGGCCTGCAGGCTCCTGGGACCCCGGAGCGCCCTCTGTCACCCACCTCTCTTTGGAAGTCGGCACCACGCCTTTCTGGCCCAGGTGGGCCCCGCTTGGCAAGAGCGCAAGGCGAGGCCCAGCAGCGTCCCCAGGGCTGTGGAACCTGCCGCTCTGCTCTTTGGCACTGAGCTGCAGGGAGCCCCGCCGGGAAGGAGGTGGCAACTTGTGGACACTTGTCCCCCAACAGCGGGAACCCAGGAATCCGAAGGGGCCACCAGTCAGTGTCTACCACCTTACCTCTGACACCAGGCCACGGGCTGCTCGGATGCCTGAACTCCCTGGAGTGCGCTCGGATGCCGAGCCGCGGAAGGACGCCAGAGATAACAGCCCGCCCCGCCCCCCCCAGCCCCTTGGCACGCCCAGGGCAGGCCCTGAGACACAGACACGCGTGCATACCCCCAGCGGACACGCCACGCCAGCACACTCCCCGCCGGGAAGCCTGGCTCTGTGCTGACAACTGTCAAACCAGCCCGTGGGGGGGAGGCCGCCGTTTCACGGTGATGGAGGCCATGCGTGTAGAAAGGGTTATTTTTTTAATGGTTCCCTGGAGACATCACCTTTGCGCCAGGAGAGAGTAAGTGAAAGGGGAAGGCGTATACACTCGGTCCCCGCCCGCAGTGACGTCTGTAAAACGAGAGCTCGGGAAGCCCAGCCCAGGCCCTGGACACGGGCCCGAATCTGTGTGGCATCCAAAGAGCGTGGCCAGGTGCCTCCTCGGCTGCGGGCACTGCCCCGGGCTCTCAGGTTGTCTCTGCCCGGCTTTCCGGACCTGAGTCTGAGAGCAACTCTCGTGCTCCCGCCTCCGCGTCCAGGGCCAGCCCTTGCGCTCACTTCAGCTTTTTTCTTCCCCTCAAGAAAGGCCCTCGAAGGAAGAGCAGCAGTTTGGGTAAAATCCCCACATTTCTGTCCCGCTCCATCCCCTCCCAGCAGCGAAGGGAGCTCCACCCTCTGGGGCCAGGGCGGCGGGCACTGTCCCCTGCCCACCTGGGGCGCTCGAGCTTTCTGAGCGCCTGGGCGTGGCCTTGGGGAACTCCCGGCTGTGAGGTCCAGTCCATGTCTCCGCCCAGCCCCCTCTGATCTTCATGAACTTGAGGTCTTTTTTATCTGGCTGAAATAAGGGGCGTGGCTGCTTTTGTTTACAAATCCCGAGTGCTAAGGGGGAGACACAGCTTCCCAACGCCCTCCCGCAGATCCCAGAGCATCCAGGACGAAGCCAGCCACCGGCCCACCAGCCACTCCTCCCCCGCCCCCCTGCCCAAGCGGCGTGGGGGAGGGCGGGGCCGCTGCGGGGCGGACAGCGTTGTGGCCGTTCACCTACAGTGTCCTTCTAGCGAGGAAAGGAGAGGCCGCCTAGGAAGCTGTATTTCCCCCCACCTGCCCCTGGGCCTTCCCAATCCGAAGTTTTGCCGGGGGCGGGGGCAGACAGACCTCTAGGCCCTTCAAGGAGCACTTTCCGCCTGGACACTTGGACCCCGCCCGGCCTGCCAGCTGTCTGGATTCGGCCTGCGAGAAGGAGGACGCAGCAGTCACAACTCAGCGACCTCAGGGTCTCTGGGCCCCGGCAGCCCCGCCGCCCCCACGCCACAGGCCCACGCGCGGCGAGCCCTCCTCCCAGGCTGGTCTCCGGGGCTTCGGGGCCTGGATGCTCTCCCACGGGGCCGCTCTGTGAAATGAGCACATCAGAGATCTGACCCGTTCGCCCTGTCCCGTCCGTACGTGACTCTATTGCCCAAGGACGCACTCCTTCGTTTTCCTTCTTGTCCTGCTTGGTCGGGATTCACCCGTCGCTCAGGAAGCCGGGCTGGCCCCCGCCTCCGGGAAGGCGAGGCGAGGGACCGGGGCCTAGGTGCAGGCCGGGGCCCCCGCCCTTCCACAGCCACGGCGTCGCTCCTTCGCGTCACGGCGGCCTCGCTGCAGACCCACACATCGTCCGTATTTCCGCACGGTCACCCTTTCGTGTGGGTCTCAGTGTCCCCGGGGCTATCTTTCCTCATCTTCCACCATCGGCCCACACGTCACAGGGGGACAAGACTCCGAGCCCCCCGCGCTCCGTGGGCATCGGGAGCCATTCTTGTTCCACCGTGTGAGTCCTGTAAGAAGACGTCCTTTGGGAGCGATTAGAAGAGTGACAACCCCGTGGCTCCCTGTCACGCGCCGGCCCTTCACCCCCCCCCCGCCCCCGCCCACTCTGCAGCCGCGCTGAATTCCCTCTGCACGCCGGCCGGCGAGCACGGCGAGGAGCAGGCGGAAGACCTGCCCCGTGGGGTTCGGCCCCTGCTCCGGGCGGGGGCGGGTGTCAACATAGTAGCGAACGCAGCAACGTCCAGAGGGCTCGCGACGGGGCGGCCACCGAGCAGGCGGCAGGGGAGAGAGCGAAAGGTGGGAGTCGCCTGGGGTTCTTGGTCCTCCGTCACCTCCTGCTGGGACAGCTTTTGTTTACCAAGGGCTGGCCCCGGGGGGTGACTGCAGCGGGGAAAGCCTTACTCCTGCCTCTTGGGTGAAGTGCGGTCCGGTGCCAGAGACGAGCTGTCCCAGCCATCGCACGCTTCCTCCTGGCTTTCCACCTAAGTCCGCCCGTCGCCCTGGCGGGGAGAGCTGCCGCGGCCATACGGCCCCTCCGCCAGCCCCGCCCCAGGCGCGGACTGCGCTGTAAGTCACCCGTTGGTCAACCAGGACTCCAGGAGGACAAAGGAATTCGAGGATGGGGTTGGGGGGGGCAGCCCTCAGCGGCCGGGGGCCCCGGGAGAGCGCTCCTTCTCGTGAGGAAGGCAGCTGCCTCTCCGAAGTTCCGCCCGACACAGTCCATGCGCTTCTTCAACAACATCTGCCTTTAAGGAAGCAGCTCTTCCAAAATGCGCTGTGATTCATGTAATTTTGGAGCGATGACTATGGTTTGTCAATTTGCTGGGCCGTATTGTTTTGGATTGTTTGTTTTCCAATGTAAATAGCACGGCCCGCATACAGGAGCCAAACTCGCCATCTGAGGCTCTTCGATTATTCTTCTCGCCTTGTTTTCCATTGTTGTGCTTCCTGCTACAGAAACGAGTGGCTGCTTCTCCTTCCCCCGCTCCGAGCCAAGACGTGCGTGGCAGTGACACTCGGCATCACTCATGGGGTTTCCAGCGAGGCCCTCAATGGATGACGCTGTGAAACAGGCCGCCAGCCCTTCCTTCCAAATGGGGCGGAGCATGGTTGTGGGTTTTGCATTTGAATGTGAGGACTGGGTGAACGGAGGCATAGGCGGAGAGTCGTTCGGTCTCCAATCT